TATATATATAAACTATATCTTTGCGATGAAGGAATAGGCCACCGCTATAAGGGAATAGAATGATCGCTATAAATAATTAGTAATAATGAGAATGATAAAATTTAAAAAAAAACAAATAAGAATGAACAAGCAGAACCAGTCGAATCCCACACGTACGCACTCAATGTGCACCGCCCCTCAAAAAAGATAGTGGTGGCAAAGAAATAAGACAAAAATGATTTTGTCCCAAGGCACACTGACAGCGAAATATTTCACGAGGCTTCAAAAGCTAGTTGCAAACAATGCGAAATAACTGCAGTCCAAAGAGACATCACTGAATAGTGGGCAGGCGACGCTGATATTGTCCATAGAGAGATACCTGAAAACAATGAAAAAAAAACAATATGGTAGTTCATAAATAACCGAATGAAATCTAACAAGCAATCTAGACAAAAAAACAACGTGTCTGAAACTTGTGCGACCGGGGCGAATTATATAGAAATCTGCTACAACAATAGCGACAACCGTAATCGCCGTTACTACTACAATCGTTATTATCACATTTCGTACTAGGCACGTATCTAGTTATGCACTAACTTTTGTAGTTTAGTGCAATTCGTGTGCCAATAGCTGGCCACTGTAGATAAAACGAATTCTAAAAAATGTGGCGAACGACGTCTATCTGTAATGTATTGGTACTCATGCAGTAACATAAGGATTCTAACATTATCTGTTTTATTACAAATACTTGTCTATTATCCATAATTATTTTCTAATGGCACAGGATTGAAAATGCACCGCGAACAAGTTGACTATTTTGAACGAGGCCCCTTCTTAAAAAGTCACCCCCAAAAACCATGTTGTTTACAACAATCGTGATGCCATTCCTCAGTAAAAGTCTTCCCCGTTTTTCTTTGAAAGCGTACGCGTCGGCGATTACTAGCAAAAAAAAAAAAATTCAACTGTAACAGTTTTCAGAGTATCGGTGATCTCTTTGTCATCTGTCCAAACGCAACAATGATACATTGAGACTGATAACGAAAACTAAACCACAGCGAGATTTTACCTATTTATTTTCTATGTTAACTTGGGCTCGATTAGTTTTTATTTTCAATCAGTATTTTTTTAACCCCCATTTTTCAAATTGTGGCCTTTGAGTTGAAATCAGATCAAAGGCGACAATCCGAACACGACGTTGACGAATAACGTCTGCTCATCAACACGTATAGAAGGGCATCATGGGAAGTCAAGTCAAATACAGCGTGATGGCAATATTATGTTATTGATTGAAATATGGATGCATGCATTATAGGTGTGGAGACAGACCTAGAGGACAATGGTTTGTTGTGATTGTGGGCTCACGTTGGCATTACTACTGCTATTTTGCAGTGTTCAGGATCAACATGAGCTAAATAAGTTTCGAATTCTATGTACGGTACTGCCGCTAACATTACTTTAGACGCTTAGCCCGTAGCACGAAGCGAAGTGTGTCTAGGACCAGTTTACCAACTCAGAAGGTCACCACGTACCCGTAAGCTTCGCAAAAAAACGCGCCACTATATCATCACGAAGATAAGATCAACATGGTCTATTGTTTTGCAATCTTAAGGGGATTTAACAGATAAATGCATATTCGAATACTAGGGTAATAAACATTTATTCTGCGATTTAATATCGGTAATATTCACAGCAGCGGCAGCAGTAGTAGTAGTAGTAGTAGTAGTAGTGTTTTGACATCGGTGTAATTATTATAAAACCTTTTACTAAAAAAAATATACTATCCTATGCCACCGAAGCATACCAAGTCGCCTGGATAAATACGGCTGTTTCGTTTGTAATGAGCTGACGCTTAACAGAGAGAAAACAGACCGTTGTTTTCTAGGCGAGCTTCAGCTCTGTATTCTTTTATTTGAAGTTTTATTTCTTTATAAACGAACAGAATGTTATTACTGGGTGAGTATGATTAGCTTTTTTCGTTACGGCTTCAAACATGCTCATATATTTGTACACCGTATAGTATATATCATTATCTTTGTGATTCGTTGCGACTATATGCGTATCTCACTTATTTCTGTAAAGTAAAAAAGTTAGTTTGAATCTGTTCTTCACTGTAAACAACAATGGAAGCTGACCTATAACAAGAAAATATATATATTCGTGATAAATGCTTATGTAAAAAACTGTCGTCGAAAGCTGCTTCATGCAAAGCTGCCCATGATGTCTACATTTTGGTAGCTATAGCGCTCTCCAGCTCACTTCACAGGATATTATTTTTACGTTTTTTGTTACTAGTCTAACTATCACAGCTACGTAGTAATGTTATCTCGAATTATTCTACATTAATATAACCTGCACAAGTAATTCAGATATATGTAAAATGAATGTTTCACGTTGGGAAAATAACTGAAAAAATATTAAACGGTGGTCGCACGTTGGTCACACTTGATCTGAATCGCCCTCTGTAAACCAGATTGGTGGCACACAATTGTTCTCAGACACATCATCATTATACGAATGGTCGTAAAAACAGTTCTCGGCATTCTGCTCATTAGAACTCGAAAATAATATCGTCGCTTTATCGTACCTGTGTCCTGCAGGTGCGGAAAAAATAGCCGAATCCCACAAAAACTTGATAGAATCAAACTGGATAGGACTGGTAAACGGTTTTCAGGACGGGTATATGAATCTAACTACCAATAAATATGTACGATTTGTCCTAATGTAATGGTGATCACATGTCACACCTAAACTAGCATAGGGGGCAATCTGTGGGTGTGCGAGTGTCTAAGTGAACGCATGTGTGATTGCGGTAAGTTTAATGAGGATGAAGACAATATTGTAGTGGCCCATTGAGAGAACAATTATAACAATAATCATAGAATTCATATACAAAGTGAGGAGAGAAAATTCGTGGTACCCTGTATATTTACATATAAAGAGGTAGACCGGAAGAGCAAGAAATACGAGCGGTTAGAAATCGAAGAAGTAATACTGATAAGTAGGTGGGCAAACAAAAATGAAACATGCGGCCGGACGTAAACCGAGACAACATGGATAATTAACGAAGAACAAGAAATAATTGAAGTATAAATGATATGATAGAAACACTACGAAAATATTTTCGTTCATAATTATTATGGACAGAGAAGGAAAGACAGTAGGAAAGAGAAATAAGAAAAAATACGATCTACTTCGGATAGATAAAAGGAGTTCCCGTTGTTTCTGCGTGTTCAAGAAATGTTGTATTCTAACTAGTATTAATAATTATATAAAAAAAATACTGTGGAGGCAAAAATGTCATGACACGAGTAAAACTAAAATGAAAACGATAAAGTGTATTTATGTACCAACAAATATTTTGTTTTTACTCGTCTGTTACGGTCAGTTATATTGAGGAGGTGCATGTATCAAAGGTAAACAGCAGAAACGCTATCTAATTAATCGTCGAAACAACTTCGTACTGAATAGCAATAGGACAGTTATAATCGTACCATTGTTGTTATTATTTAGTGAGGCATTGGTGAAATAAGGTCAATGAGAGTAGTTATACGGGATTCGAAACTATCAAAATGCGTTTCCAAATTCGAATTGACCATATATGTTCAAGTTCTAACGGCGATTTGCGTCGCTGGGCCATTAATGCAAAATATTTTTACAAAGTGATCAAACGTTGCAAACAGTCTCAATTTTGTGGCGGACGAAACAACCGAACCCGCTGATTTGATTTACCTTCCGGATTTACTATAGCAAAAAAGTAGCAGCTAACTATATTATATGTAATCATCTAAATTTTTATATCGTCACCTGAGTGTTTATCCCTAAGAATCCGATTTGTCTGAAATAGGGTTGTCCGATATTTTTGGGGTTGATAATCACGCTATAAAAATAATGATTCTTACTCATACAGATTGTAACGGTTTACATTGTCAACAGTTATCTCGTATGGGATCAACGCGAAAATCTTATGAATATGAAATCTGAGAACTCCTACATTCGCTAACCAAGTGGTTTGATTTAACCCCCTTTTATGGAGACCCTAATTATACAGATTAAAAAATCAGAAATAATAACGCTACTATTTGTTGATTACAATACCGTTGTTAGTTATATAACAACTAGAACAGTTTGATTGAACTTCAATTAATTAGAATACTAATATGTACTGGTTAGATATGTACCTGAGAGAAGTCAACTAATAACGATACCATATTTCACAACAACGACCATACGATTTTTATTCGGCAGCAGTCCTTACGCAAAACAACTGTAAAAAGGAGTCAGAACGTGCACGCAAGAGGCATTCTGAAACATCATTCGGAAACTAATACTAAATATGTTAGATTTAGCACTCTAAACCTTGATATAATAATGTCCCTGATTGTTTATACGTTGCTGACCTCAGCAGGGTTAAATTGGATCAAGGCGGACATATAGGGCCGTACAATGAATGCTACCTTGAAGCATTAACTGGACGTAAGGCCAAAGCGACACGTATTTTAAGAACGTGTTGTTGATTATTTCAAGGAAATCTTCAGGCGAAGCAAAATGATCTCCGATATTTTCCAGCACATTTCAATCACGGTAAAAACCTGGCTCCGTAGCATTGAGGTATGATGTACTAGTGGAACTAGAATCACCAGCTTTGTTTACATATGGGAGCTTCTTTTGGACTCACGAAACGGCGTTTTAGTACAAAATTAGAAAGATATGTAAGTAAAATATATTCGGTCAAGTATATTAATAGAATAACATTTGCCCTTCATTTTTCTTTTCCATATGCTCAAAGCGTATAGAGGATAAATATACTGACGAGGCAATGACCAGGTGGTGCTATAAATAGTGATATACTGTTTATTCCAAGGTGATTGATATAAAATAATTATGATCATTATAACAAGGTACGTAGCAAATAGAAGCCGATCTATTTTTTAGCATAGCCAGTAATGGTAAGAGAGTGATTCTGACGCCTGCCGGTCACCGAAAACACATGACCGAATAGAATAAGCTAATGTCCTGAGTGTCCTTGCACTTTGTTTCCCTCCAGTCTTAAAAAATTGTTTCAGCAATGTCTTGCTGAGAGAGGGACATCAGAGCAATCCGTCATCCGAATGTACTGACAAAGAGTGAGAAATTCATACTTAGAAACGATCAACAAACGAATCAGTGGTCCCATAGTGAATCTATTCCTGTTTGCAGTATCCAATTTATAAAAATCGTTTTCAATATTGCAGAATATGTACACAAACTTATGAAGCCTTCGAATATTTCAAACAGCTAGAATCGTATTATGCATTAAAAACCATTTGTTTATATAATGTGGAGATGCTAAAAAGCAAATAGGCTGCAATTATTTTTGTTATCGCTTGTTTCCTGCGAAGGTGCGATATAAGCTTTCCACGGTTTTCCCAAAATCTAAGTAGCTTCTTTAAACTGGTAGGGCACACCTAACCTGTCAATTGTTGCTGTTAGCTAGTTAAACTACACTTATGATGGATAAGGTAGTATTAAGAGAAGCAAATCATTGTCCTCATGGGCTGAAAATGTCGAAACAACATAAGGCTAACATGTGACCCAAACCAGATGATTCGCTGAGTGATCCAGTTCCGAACGCAGTTGAATTTAACGCTAGCTAACAGCTCAACTTCTACAAAATTGAACAGGGTGCTGTGTCTAAAAAGTGCTGGGGTTTCAAAAAAAAACTGATGCTGCCGTTTCAGGTGAGATTCTTGATATAGTAGGGACACTGAAAATAACAACATTAGCCAGCGGAATCGATGTGCGTTAGAATGTGCACGAAAGCGGTGTGCCTGTATATAATGCTGACATTAAGTGTAACATGATGGAACTAAAAAATTGGTCCAGTAGGTGTTGTTTGAGGCTAGGACAAAGAAGCAGACAGAAAATGAAGTGCAATGCTGGCCTAAATCACATGCGAGTCGCTTGACGAATATTATCGACGAAACGATTAAGGATCACTGAAAGCTGACAGCCATTGATACCAATGAATCTGAATCAAATGACAATTTTTAATGCTTTTACTGATTGTTTATGCCGGGATTAGAATAACGCATGGCACCACTCATGCATGTGTAAATGGTAAGGATCACACCGAGATTTGTATGCAGTTAGCGCAATTAGTTGTTTGAACACACAAATAATACAAAGACAGCTTTAATGCCCGGGAACTTAAGAACTTCGAAACTAGTGTTTGAGTCTGAAATAAAATCTCTGGGATGCACATACAGTTCACCCACAATCGGGTTGCGAACGTACTAAATGATTAGCGAGTTATCGCCGCCCGTGGAGTACGATAAAGAGTAGCAACGAACTGTGCAGACGAAGAATACAAAAAGAAAAATCGATATCCGTTTTCAGACACCGTGAAACGATAAAATTGATATGTCTAGGGAATTTTTTCCGGTTAGGCTAACATAAATGATAATAAAATGGTCAGTTGTTCGAGACGTAATTACGGGGCTATAAATAGTAAAAGAAGAGACGGTAAGCTCTGTAAGCGTTTTGGGTTGAAAGTCCCTTAATTATTCAACGTACTGCATCATTTTTTAAACGTAATCTAAAAGTCGAAATATACTCAAGTAGTTTTAAATCAATGCACTGAGACCATGAAAATCATACAACGTACGTGAGCATTCCTAAGTGAAAAATATTCATAGTCCTTCTAGTAGAAAACTGTGTGGGTAATGCTACCGATTATACTTCCACGAAAGAACGTTTTGAAAAAGCAAAAAAAAACAACGATGCTAATAATCAAGCGGTACCTCTGCCAAGCGTGCTTGGCGACTTTTAAAACAGCTATTTTAGTTAAAGGTAACCTGTAGGTTGCGCTTCTTATTGATCTGCCACAAAAGTTTAAAGCAAACCTATATTCTAGTCTTACAAAGATACACAGGAATTGTGACTAGGATTTCAGAAGCATTAGAATGAGCGCTTTAAACTTCTAGCACGATGCATCAATAAGAGTAGTCCCAAGGCTTATATTACAAGTTATATTACGGCTGAATATAGAAACAAGCAGCGAGTGGTAGCCACTTGTCATTCTCTTCCCTTTTGGTCGCAAGAGTAATTGAAAATGTCTAGATACCGGAAGTTGTAGACAGAATTAGAGCTATATTTTTCAAGAATTAAGATTTTCATGTATTATTTCTCCGCATACAAAAACGTGATTGTAAAAAAGTTATCAAAAGAAGGTGAAATTGTTTAGATCGCAGATACAACTTATATGAATGCTTAACACATATGGAATGGATGAAAAGAAGTAGAAAGGCTTCAACTTACAATTATAGATAATAATAATTCTACATATTATATACTCGAAAATATGTCTGTGTCTTTCGTAGAATTTCAGTTCAACGTCATAAAGGTCAATGATGAAGTCGTGGGTGACTTCCAACTATTTAAAGTACCTTTACAAACTGCATCAGTTTGCAGAAAAAAATTTACATCAGACATTTGATAAAAATGGAGCTTAAAACGGGTTGTCAGCTGGCGTAGATTAGCGAGCAATAATTGAGTAGGGTCTTCGCAGACCGCAAATCATTTAACATTTGATGATATATGCAAAACAACAAGCTGTTTGAGATCAATATTTGATTACGGTAAAAATCGACGCGATAAAAAATAGGCACCTGATGACTGAAATTCAGCCTTTTCGTAACTTATGTCGACTTGATAGAGAGAGACTTGAAAGATAGACGCGGTGGAATATGGAACATTCTAAGAGAAAAATTACAACGGGTTATGCGTTATGCAAGCCGTGTGCTATCGTAAACGCTCACTTAATGGGAAGTTGCCAGCAAGAAGTTATACTTGCTAAAAGAAATCGAATGTGCGGGTATTCTTGGTTTTGCAAGACGTTTGTTCGTAGTCCATTCAATACTGGAATTGCGCATTTTTCTTATCTATATCGATCTAGTACAACCCGAGTCTTACGCATGAAAAATTAATACTCATCAGCGGTTTAATAGTCCAGAGCACGTAGCTCCGAGACATTCTTAAGACCCGCCATCATGTTTTATTTCCTTAGCTTTGCCAATATTCGAACGGGGCCCATTTTTTTAATGATATATGAGATCTCCCGCTCTTTTGATACATGCAACACCCCTTAATATGAACTGAAAATTACCACACAGTTCATTCATTCCGGTCGGTCTGTCTTTGTGAAGAGTGTTTACTTTTTGGGAGGAAAATAACGGTAGTCACTTTCAATCGTTGCTCCGGGCCATATGAGGACAGCTCCAGGAGCAATAAAAAACGCTTCTAACTTTCGTAGAATGATTTTATTTTATTCTTCACCCATGTGTATGTATGTATATATTCATAGTTTTTAGTTATTCTACAATTGAACGACACCGCTTCAACGTCTGACGCATAATCACACTTACCACTATCTTTTTCTGCACCTTTTACTTTTCTATAATTGTATATCATGTCGTTGTCATAAATAGGTACAGTCTACAGATTTCTTTATGTATACTTGTATTTATATTTGTATACACCATATACCTTTTTAATTAACCTTTCATATGTGTGTATACCTTATATCAGCCTCTGCTTTTTCTCTCTCTACACATGCGTTCGTCGAACGCAAACACGATACATTGAAACTTGTTTTAATATAAGTTACGATCTGCTACCCATGTGTTTAGGGTTGTTGTCTAACTCTTCAAACTATCATTACTGTCATATCAGTTATTCATAATTAATATTATTGGCCACCACAATTATCTCATTGGCCTGCTAACTTCGGATTTTACAAGCATTCATACAAAGCAATCCTAAAGTTAGTTAATGCTAAACCTTAGGTTTGCAAATTTACTACTGTACTACTAGTCAGAAAATTATATCTTTGTTCACCTGCTGTCACGTGTCAATAAATATTTTGCGTACCTTATCGTACAATGACGTTCGTCATCCGATATTTAATAATGCTTATGCTATTTGCTGAAAACTGACTGCAAAGCCCCCCGCTTGTACCACTGCTCTCCTACGGACGTCAAAAGTAAATGGGGATGTGCGTGCAAAAATTAAATTTAATTTCACATAGAATCATCGTCACGAACCGTATGCTTGGTCTAAAAATTAACTATGCTACAGTACGTTTTCATCACTCTGGAGTTGTTCTCTTGAAGAAGAAAGTAAGGTTTTTTCGACTGGCCACATGTACTAGTACAAAGAATGCGCACACACGTAGCTCATCAAGAAACGACAAAGAAGAAACGAATGTAGCTAAAGATTAAGATATCAATTACGGAGGAAAAATCAAGGGTCTTCAGTAAGATGTTGAATGAGACTAAGGTCTGTTCATGTTGAACATGCATTTGGTTGCTCGCCGAGCAAATCGCCGTATCTGCTGCACTGTTAGGCTCGATTTGCGAAGTCGTTTTGTAGCTGGAGTAGCTTTGAAGAACAGGTCATCCGGAGCGTCACCCTGTATCGGACACTGATTTAATAACCAATGTGAGGTAAACGAAAAAGAAGCAGTGTATTGGTTAGAAAAATAGCTCATTATCTGAGGAACTAGTAAATTATCAATATTTATCATATGAGGTGATTGATGAAAGTTTTAGAGCAGTATTTTTTAGAGCAATTAAATCTGTTTACAAAAAAATGTCAAAATGGAAAAATGCATGAACATACATATGTTCATTACGCTACAACACCGACACGGAAAATTGACTGCTTCGTAAAATGAATACGCAGAATAACTAATATATATTCAGTCGACAATGTAATACTTTCAAAAAGATTAAAATTAATCTGTACCCAGGTTCCCATGTTTTTACGGGTCGGTTTCCCTGCTCCTGAAGTCGGCGTTGATACTGTGCCACTACTGGAAGACGGCGCTGTGGATCCTGCGAGGAGGGCGGCCACTGAAGGAGGCGGAGTGGAGTGTGTTGCTTGTCCACCAACTGATCCAATAGCCGCTTCAGCTTGTAACAGTGCCAATCTTTTAGCAGCGATTGCTTCATCCTGGACAACTGCGCGCTTCAAAGAGGCTTTACGCGGAAACGCTTCGGGAAGCGGTGCTGGGCGTTTTTCCACGGGTGTTGCCAATAGAAAGTCAGGCTTAGGCGTTGGCGGAGTACCCAGTCGGTGAGAAATGTCTACGACGCGACCTCGGTTCTTCATTTTTTTCGGAACGACGCCAGTCAGTGGTTTCGTTTGCATCTCGACTCGTATCGCTGTCAGGTCGACCGGTGAGAAGGGATTTCGAGCCGCATGTCTCGGTTTAATGATGCCTATAAACGCCATAGCACGGCGTTCACAAGAAAAAAAATACTTGTGATTATTTTTAACCAATTACAGGGCTCACTCTCATAGAAAATACCAAAAAAATACGATACCCATAAAATAATAAATTGGGATTACTAATTTTTGCAGCTTCCTTTGTTCAATCTTTATCAAATAGCTAAAATTGACCATAGCGGTTAGGGGCAAGACTACCCAATTGATTAAAGATGGATTCGCTCTACACACGTATGTTCTTCGTAGAGAAACACTTATTGCATTTAGTTACCCTTTACAGATAAAAAGCTCATTTCTATTCTCATCAAATTGTTTTGTGTTAGAAAATAGCGGCACCCGACGCAATATCATGCACACAATACATTTACACCCTGAAGCAGATTTTGACTATTCATCCGCCTGATCTAAAAACAATCTTCATTAGGACAATAAAACTTAACGGTAAATTATTCTCTGAAGAATTATTATTGGTATCGCCGCCAAAAGCACCGTAAAGAAAATATCTTCCTGCTTTTTGAAACTTTTTTTTTTGCTTTTGATGACCCAGTAGTCACAAGCTACCTCTTCTAATATCGAATTTTAGTATAGATGAAACCCTTAAGCTCAACTTATTTTGTCGCAATGATTTGTTGAACAACCGGCTGTATATTCAATATAGAAATAAGCGTCTTTTAGTAAAAACTTACTCTTGCATTGACGTCTTAGCTGTTTCGTTTGTGGTGTTGTATGTAAGTAAAACGCAGCACGAGTCTTGACGATTGGTCGAGGTGATGAAGACCTCATAAGCGATAGTGGAACCCCCACACCTTGGGTCGATGCTGCTGCCGCAGCTGCCACAGCTACTCCAGCTGCCGCTGGAGGTAAACTCATATTTAGTCCATGGTTGGTAATGCAATGTCGCACAAGATGCGTTTTCTGCTTGACATCCTTGCCGCACATGGGACAGCGACATGGCCCATCCTTCATTGTAGCCAGCTGCTGAACCAAGGCGAGGTTGGCTGCTGCCGGAAGCGGGGTAACTCCCGGATTAGGTGCCGGTAGGCCAGACAATGCAGGCACGGGTGGACGTGCCACCGATGGCGGCACAGACGGAACGGATACAGCCGAAAGCGACGCTGTCGCACCTGATGCCACCGCTACCGCTGCCGCTCCCGTAATGCCGTTGTGCGTCGTTCCAGCTGCAGCACCTGCGGCTGACAAGTCTACGGAGCCCACAGCCTCCATTCGTGTCGGGTACTTCAGGCCACCGTACTTTTTCCAGTACGGCCAACATGACGCGCATAGGCGGCACTGCATATGCGCCAGACCCCACGAGAACCATTGGGTGCATGAAGTAGTATAGCAGCTTTCGCAAGGTCGACCCACGGCAACCGCCCCTATTGATGCTTCGTTCTTGTTGTAATTTGGGATGTACACCTGTTTCAGTTTGAATTCGGCTTCCACAGCCTTAACCCGTTTCTGCTGCACATACCGATCCGTTGTCTTCCACATATAATAATACTCGACGATACTCTTCAAACTTTTCCAAGGCAGAAAATCGGCCCGGATATCGTTGAAATCCTTGCCGTACTTCTCCAAAGCCTCCTCAAAGAGATTGGCTTCAGAAGCGGACCACTCTTCCATTTCGTCCCGACAAAGTACCGGGCCTCCCTGTGGAACCAATGAACATAGTGCCTTGCTCACGTCATAGTTGTACCGGTGTAGAGCGTCCATCGCGTGGAAGAGCGTTACATCTCGAGAAGCAGCTGCAGCGCTCATATGCAAACTTGGTTGTTTCACGCTGCTTGAACAATCTAGGGCGCGAGCAAACGTACCTACGGAACGACAGATCACAAGGAACTGATCGATTGTTTTATCGTCTAGCTGATGATTCGGGGAGAATACGAGTGTCTCCCGTGGTACAACAGGTGTCGGGGTAGCAGGACGTGAAGCCGGAGGAACCCAAGCTGGGATTTCTGCCTGGTACTTGGAACCAACTCGAATTTCACCTTTATCTGCCAATAGCGTTTTTTGGCCCGGATCATAGACAAGCGAATAGAAGAACGCATCGTCCTACGAGACCAACATTGTCATCGAGTACAGTTACTTTCAGACTAACGCAATTAGTTACTTGTATCTTGACATGCAGTAGGTATATCCCTCACATCTAAATAAAAATGTAAATAATGTATGGAATCCGATGCAACTATTCTGCCCTACATCGAACTATCTACAAATGAATATTAAATAATTCATACCGTTAGATAACAACAAGACTACATTATACCTTATTCAGGTAGGAAATAAGTGTTTCTGTCTCATTCAGAAGTGTGACGTGACACTTTCCCCTAATGGCAGTTGCAGGTAACGTTTCAACTTGACGCGAGAGAAACAGTTCTCGATGTTTAAGTTGGTGGCGTTCCTTGTCCGATAGCGAAGCAAGCGTTTTGGGCCCTGTCACTTCTCTTTCCTTGGTTGACGCTAGAACATTCTTTGGGCTACCGCTTGCTTCTTTATCCTTATCTTTGTCCTTATTGGTGGCCTCTTTGGCGTCCTTAGTTACTCCGTTATTATCTTTGGTCTTCTCATGTTCTTCTACGGCCGATTGGTGCTTATCGGCTAACGAAATCAAATTCGATGAAATATCCCTCCGCCGATAAAAACACATAACCTATATGACGTGTATGCCAATAAAAGTGCAACAATATTCAAAAATTAGTCCGCTTAGAACTATACCATCGTTCACGCATAGGGCGAGGTTTGCGCTCATTTTTACTAATACTCAAATTTCCCATTATTTTAGATAGAACCATTTACATGGAACCAATAAAAAGGTGTTATTCGCTGTATCCTTATGAACAATTGCGCTTGTGTGGAAAGCTAAGTGTCGAAATGATTTTATCCGTGACCAGTGAGATCGTACTTTTCTCTTGACTGTATAGCTCAAAGAGCTTATTTTAGTTAAAATATTCACGTCAACTCGCCCTTTATTCCTATTTTAATTGCGTTGCATGCGTTTAATTGGATCTGTAACTTTACCTTGGCCTCAACATTTCCGTTGGGGGTCTTGATGAGCTCCTCGATTCTACGAATCTGATATGGAGCAGATGATGACGTCTCGAAGAAGACATAATCTGTAAAAATAACAGCACCGATAAAATTTCAAAACTAGTGAAAAAATAAGATAATAACCATTAACCACCGCTTCCATGTTAGTAAGCGTTACACAGAATAACATGACTCATATGTTCATAGCTAAAGTAGACTATGCCAATGGCATACAGTCTATTATAAGACTGTATGCCATTGTGAGGCGATTATCTATATCCAACGCATATTGGATGAACTTAAAAAAAATATGGAAACATATGCCTGCTAGTGATGTAAGATAACGATTTTTTTTTTATACTGAAAAGAAATAGTCACCTGCATCTCTTTATTAAACAATTTTGTTGCTGGATACATCGCCTCAGCTGTGCACCTTTCGGGCCCACGTTACGTTGGACTAAGAAAAAATTAATTCATCTTCGAATCCCCGCGTATCTGCTCAAATTACTATGTTGATAACGCATATCAGGGACTTGCAAATGAAAGCATATTCTTTCGATTTAAGTTTTCAAGCGTTTTGTCGAGCAATAAATACACAGTTAAGCAGAACATACAAAGTCTGTTTCTGAAAAAAAAAAAGATTCAGTCTAATACAAATACAGAGTGACCAAATACAAAAATTTGCTTACAAGAAAAACGTAATACATGTCAACAGCAAGGCTTGTGACCAAATACAGGTTATTGTTGAAGTCTTTAGATATGCAACGCAATAGTGTTGCACAATCCTTGATTTCCAAATTGAATTTCAAAATATTGTCAGCTAAATAAAATATGTAACTCATTTATGTATAGCCTGTATACACATACAAGCATGCTCAAAGGGCTTTGAAACCTACTTGTTTCAGTCAGTCGCACCTTTTTCGAAATTCTTTTGCAATAAAGCCAGAGACCAATGTCATCTAGCCCGCTGACATTTAAAAAAGAGAGTGCAGCGCTACGATACGTAATTGACATAAACAATGGTCACCAATTTTAGGCGTTACTGTTTCAACATAAATTATTTTCAAAATTGGTTTAATAATTTTGAAAAAAAAAATACAATATTTTGAAATAACCACAATATTTTCAGACTATGTTCTGTAGAAGTTCTAAAACCTCACTACGACCGATTTTTCTTACCGGAGTTGCCAGGAAAGTGCTTGTACAAGTTAAGTGCTGAGTGTTTCAAATTTCTCAAATAGCTCTCAAATACAATATTTGTACAAAATTAAAAAAAAAAATCACGCTTGTTACTTTAACTAAATTTTTGACATTTAATAGGCTTAAACAAATTTTTTTTAGACAACAGTACGGGTTTAGACTACCCAACCCAATCCGAAAGAATATCTTGCATGCACGTGTTGAAAGCCTGAAACGACTTTAGCCTTGGTGCGAGCTTTACGACGTCCAATTAGAGCCTGTGAAATCAGCAGATTCGACTAATATAGGTTCAGATTTCTGTCTCAAAATGTGTGTTTATTAGAAAATACATCAATAATATAGAATAGAAAATGGGTCCAAATAGCTATGTCCAAAAATACCCTTTCATTTTAACATCACCAGCAGAAGGCATATGAAACCATCGAGCATTGAGATTTGATCAAAAGTTCACTGGAATTCCGCTGGTCAATTAAAGTAGAGTGAAAAAACTAGCAATAAATTACTTGCGTTGTAAACGACTAGAGCAATAATTCCTCCATGTGAATAAGAAACACTCGCTGAATTATATACAAGATATATACAAGCCCTAATTTATTTTTTATGCTAATATTATAAACCTTGTAGAAATGCTTGCCCCTTACAGCTAGCTTATTTGATTCTTGCTAAAATGTATATCGAAAAACATTATCACGCAAAACACACTACACTCTCATCAAGCAGTTAAAGTACCATACCTTTGCGTCTGAGCCAGATAACTCAACTACTGGGGCTTCGCCACAACTATCACGATACTGGGTATTTTACTACCGTGCATCAAAAGAAATAACTGGTTCAATAATGAAATTTGAATTTCAATCAAGTCGTGATAGGTTCAGTTAGTTTTTGCAAACGCGCGCCACATATCATTATACCTGTTATGGGTTAGTCAACTCCAGTACCGACACGCTCGCCTAAGAAAAAGGTTTAAACTCTCTCGGCCTTTTCCATTCTGTATTTATTTACTATGTCAGGCCCTAATGGGTTTTCTTTACTATTAGGAATACCATTGTCCACTTTGACTTTCTGGTGACAAACAGTTATCGATAATTTTACACTGATGTGTTTGTTCGATCGATCTAAACGCTTTGTTTACACCAATCAATACGGCTTATTGCAGTACTTTATCAAAAGCAATTTTGTAACCTCGTACACTAGTACATTCATTATATTTCTTCTTTCTTGCATAACAGCTCTTCATTCGATCTGTCTGGGCTTCGAATCCAAACAAGCCCCGCTTCGAACGATTTCACTTTGTCGTCTCACCACCCTCTTCCCCTCTATCTTCTTAAGACAGTCAGCTCTGTATAGGTAATTAATAAAAGACGCCCCCAGCTAACACGCCACATTATTTGCTGGGGCACTTTTTGCCAAATTTATACTCTTTCTCCGTCTCCCATTCTCTCTCGAGCTTTTCACAATCGAATGTGCTAGCAGAGAACGCTTTTGTGCCGAATAGAGCTTTGCAACAATTAACAAACAATGGTCAATTCTCGAATATTAGCTCGAACTCGAGCAAAATACACGGGCATCTTGCACCTTGATTGCTCTACGGTGTCAAACGCTGATTCGATCTGTTCTAGTCAGCGCCCGCCGTTGCCGCCCTTGGCACGTTACCACCACCCACCCGCAGTCTTTCCGACTACGGCGTTGCTAACGAAATCGACGGTCGTGCACGACGACTATTTTCGCCTCCTAGCATACACATATAGATACAAATGCCGCCTTCAGATAAATCCACTTACCTCCCACCCGGTACATGTTAGCGGCCATCGTGCTGGCTGCTGCTGCAGCGGCGGTGGCGCCGGGAGGGACGTTCGGCTATGAACGCGAACGACCCTAAGATGTGAAAAGCGGGGGGGGGGGGTCAAATCGGATCCTTCACGAGCCTTTTCCTGACCGGCACGCGCCACTCACTACACTATGTGATACACTCGTCGACGTGCTTCCGGTACGTAATCTCGCTGCACTCATAGAGAACAGGCACACGCAGGGATGAAAACGGCGCTGGCAACAACAACACTCGCGGTGTCACTACTCACAACAACGACACACACCACAACGACGACATCTATCGGCGGCAGCAACGGCACCGACTGCTATCGGGACCCGATATTGTGGTCACCATACGGCCACGGGAAGCAGAAGTAGGGGTCGGAGTAGCAGACGACCCACAAGCCAGCGCCAGCACTCCCGCTTCAGCAGTGAGGACGGCGTCGGCAGCAGCAACAGCAGGCGGAGTACACAGAGCTAAAGGTGGTTGCTTGTTGCCTGTTTTCGCATCGCATTTCTCGATATGTTTGCCGCCGAGTGCTGCGACTACCGCATCCCTCGCTCAATGGTTTCTTGTCAGGCATTAACGATACGGGGGCGCTGTAACAAGCCGGCGGATATATTTGAGAGGAAGTGACGTTGTGGGCGCTAAAACGCTCACAGGAAGGCGCAAACTTTGAAACAAAGAGAGTTCGGTGCAAAATTTGTATATTTTATAGTAATGATATTGAGCAGATGGCATTATTGATATAAAGTACTCTATCGAATCTTTTATTATCAGAACCAAAACAGTAAACAAATAAACAAGAACTTTGTAAATAGTTCGACGTTCGCAATGAACAGATTTGCAATATAATAATCGCGCACTTTTAAAGATCGGTTTCTTAAAAATATATCTTCTGAGACATTACTAAAAGTTTATATCATGGAACAGAAGGTTCGTGACAGTCCGAGAATCCCCACTTTACTAATTTTTCCTCTCTACTTTTTTAAATATTTTATTTTCCTGCTACCTTAAGGGATGTAAAATAGGGTCTTCCTTTTATTTATTAAATTATTTATTAAATCATTCTATTTATTTGTTAAATAACGTTTGCTCACCCCTAAATGATTCAGTCGCATATGTTACGTATCATATGGAGGTTATGTAATTACCTTTTTTAAATTCACATAGGTTGTGTAGAATTATAGACAACAAAATATCATTTAGAATAATTTATTTACAAAACGTATGCAATATATGTCTTATGATTAATAGTTTCACTTTGCAGACTAACATGCCATTTTTACTGCGGAGCATTGATATTGTCGTTAATAATAATGCTACATTCGCCGTATATAAGTAATTCTATTGTGCACTTTGGTACGCTGCGTTGAAACATAAGTGATATGATGAAAACAGATGTTTTGTGTGCTTGTTTCTTTATTCACTATATACACATCAATTGTTTCGTAAAGAGGCTAGATGCAATGCTAAATACCCTCCGTTGTGACATTTTGATAAATAAAGGAATTTCCCGGGATTTATCTGACAAGTTGAGACCAAATTAACTTCCTTAGTTTTAATTACCCAAGTTGAGTAGCAACCGCTGAACCTTTGGATTACAAGGGTCAATACAATACATGCTCATACACTATATATGTGACAAGTTTTTACATGAAAACACACACACCCTTCAAAAAATACCGTCATATATAAACAATATTCGTCATAATGGCACTTGATAGTAACATTATGGATAAATTCAAGCGCGATACCAGGTAGAAATGCCCTTCTCCCTCTAGGTTTTTCGTAAGTTCTTGGGAAGTCTTTTACAAGTAGCTAAGTTCTAAATCCAAATTTGACCGCGCAAAATTGGCCAGTCAAATAGTGAAATCCATGAAAATGGCATTCGCGCGAAACGTGTTGTCACCAGACAGACCCGCTTTTCTTCACCTCATAATATCTGTGCAATGCTTACAGCCTAGGTCGGGGGAAAGGTGGTGGAGCACTTTCGTACTCCGTGCGAGTTCCTGACTCCCTCCCTTGTCGCTGCGGACAGGGCGAATGGCGGCATGTTTTGAAGTGGTAGCCCTCGCTTCATGAGTAGCTACCGGCAGTAACACCAAGTAGGACGAATAGAAAGACCAAAGAGTAGCAGGCGGACAAAAGATCTATTTATTACAGCATGTAACATTGTTCTGCCAGAAACAACAGACCCTAAAGTGAGTACTTGCTTTTGCGGACACCATTGCAGCATTTTACTGACAATAATAAAGTTGGTGATTATTATAACAACATTAAAAACTCAGTATAACATATTAGAATAATAATATTAATCAATCAATAAATAGTAGCGCATGTTCGATCTTGTAATGAAGTCAGACGTGGTAGCTGCTCATACTGATCGAATGGACCGCTTGTTTCGAACACCGCTTCGGGTGGGTCTAACTGTAGTTGTCATCACCCGTCTCGAAGGGTTTTGTTGTAGTAGCAGATAGTAAACGGTTTCGGCTTGTTTTGAGGTTGATCTGCAGAAGCTATCACTGTCTACCGTGGTGTACATATAATAATGCCTACCCCACTAACAATATCACCTATACTTCACCCCAGTTTGTGTTCGTGTTTGTAAGCAAGTCGAATAGTTACCTTTGAGGTGTGTATGTTGTCTACCTTCTACATTATGCGATTTGCCGTTAGTTTAGTCGGCAACAAAGGCTTTCGGTGGCGAGGAACTTACCAGTTTCTGTTGAATAAGATAAATATTCTGAAGTTAAACATCTCGTCCACGAGCTGAAGCGAATGACTCAAGGCGCAAAGACTTCAGCGGTCAAAACAGCGCTTAACTGGCGATGCATGTAATCTGTCATGCTGACTGACATTCATGGTTCACTGTGGCATGCAGTAATCTAATAGCTCTTTCGTCCGCTATTAGCACAGTCATGGTGCTCGGCGCATTGTTGGAAACCTTGGTTGGTCTGCCCGGTGAGCTGCTTTCCACGTCGATTGAGCTGTCGCTGAGTCTGCTAGTATGCATCGCGTTCCTGTTCGCAACAATGAGCATAATCGCGCTACTCATTATTCTTGTCAGCCTCATTCTGGCCAGCTTGTATAAGATTTCACTAGAAAAAGTAAGTGTCATAACCGCTAGGCAAATATTGAAAAATCGAAATTTTGAAGCAATAGCATTTGTTGCTCAGTGGAACAGTATCTTTTGACGGAGTATCATTGTCTGTGGAAAAGGCCCCCTTTATGCGGTGTATTGGCCGCTATACTGTAATATTTAATTGCTAGTCTGACCCTTGTTGAACATCAGGACATTTGGGTAAAGAACACTTTGGCTTTTGTAATACTGATTTAATTTTTATTACGCAACTTCACAGACAAGCACCATTGGTGATTTTTCTTTTTCTTTAATAGCTGGTTTTAGTGCCTTAATGACGGAGAAATTATATTAGATAGAAAGTTTTATTATTATACAAAAAACACATATTTGCAGTTATTTTCATTTTAAACTGTATGTTTATTGGATTCTAGAATTCGTAGTGCAAGCAAATTAATTATATAAGTCATGTATCGAACGAGATTAAAAAAACGAAAAATGGGTGGTCTGTATCTTTTTTCGAGGCCAAGGTATTGAAGTTGTGAATTTTCTCAAAAATTCCTTTTTTAAAGTTCTTGGTACTACATTCGCTTCAATAATAATATTGGGGTATTATTATTTAAGTACATCATACACGACTGACTAGGAAACTTTTCAATAATCAAAGCTGATTGTTGGTTGACTAAGAGCGGTTACTTACCGAATAGTGAAGAATTACGAATATATTGTGTTATATTCCTATTATAAGTACGCACTCGTTTTAACAGTTATATTAGTAGTTTTTTTTTTCAATTTTTTTGTGGTTTCTGTTTTAAGATCTATTGCTCATAAGAATGTTACCCCCGTCACACAAAACGACCAATTACAGCGCTTGAAGGTTCTTATATAGCAATTATCTCAAAACGTTTTTTGAAAGCTTGCCATTGTATGACGTATTCAGGATAAGAGAAGTCAGAGCAAAATCTTAGTGTAATTGCTTTTACTTTGTGCAATATTTTATTTCCATGCGATGCCAACAGTCGTATTAAAATGACAATCCTTCTGATGCTATTCGTTCGTACGTTCAGATTTCTTTGCCACACACAAGACTCTACTTGAACGATTAGAGCGAGGTTAAGTGTAGCCACTGTATAATGAAAATTATAGGTAAACACATGAAGCGTTTAATAAGTTGGTGTCGAATTGACTTTGTTTTTATTAAGGAGTCTATTTACGGCATGATGTCCTACTAACCTTACGTTCTTGACAATGAAAGATAGAATTATCGAATAAGGGATTCGATGAAATTTTTATGGGAAGAAGAAAATAGAATGATTTCTCAATTGGCTGGATCTGGTGCTTGTACGGTGGGAAGTTTCCAATCCGAAAGATAGACAGGAGCTTTCCAGACGCCGTTTACTTCTATATTGCAGTATCTGTCGTCAGACATCGAGAATTTGTCTCAAATCGCGTTCGGTCGTTTCTAATAAGGGAAAACAAGGGGATTCTAAAAAGGGATGCATCGTGACAATTGCATTTAAATATGTCTTGTGGTTCCCAATAAGCATCTTGGCATTGTGGTCGTTTTCCAACACGCTCCGAGTTTAATAGTTGTTAATTTTCTTAATTTTCCCATATCATTTTTTTTTTATCGAATTTACGTAAATTTTAGCGCTTTTTAGCTAAAATTATTTGTGTTCTTTAAATTAATAATTACTTAATGAACAACATGATTTTTTGGCTTAATTTGATTTTACGCAACAAAGCCGCACTCAGTATGCTGATACAATGATTATCCCGTAGCATAAAACCAAAGTGGATTATACGACAGGTTCAACAAAGTATAATCTATCATATTGATTGTAAACTTTGTACTGAGCGCAAAAAGCAACAACATCATACCGCACGAATCTATGCACATTCTTGCTTTTTAATGGGTTCATTCTTTTTTTCAAGTAATTCTAAAAAATCGGGATTATCCTAAAGTAAGAACCAATGCGTTTATAAAGGATCAGCTTTCAGTCAAATTTATTCATGAGCTCGCTTCATATATGAGCGGGATTCTTCGACACTTTTGAGGATAGATATAGTAGAAATGCTTGCGTAGACATATATTGTAAAGTTGGTTGATATTCTAGTAGGTAGCGTTCTAATAGACGATTAAAATAAATGAAACAATTAACTACTTCTTTTTATTAACGATAATCCAGCCCAAAGTGGACGCCGTTGATCAGGTGCTGGGTCCGAATTGCTCCGTCGTGTACGCGCATCGTGCAGGTGCACTCGACGCTCCAGAAAACACTCTGGCAGCAATCCGACTCGCAAAGACAAATAAAGCATTCGGCGTCGAATTAGACCTCTCGTTCACGAAAGATGGAGTTGCAATTGCATTTCATGACGATGATTTGGAGCGAACAACTGATGGAAGAGGAGCTCTCTGCGATCATACCTGGGATGAGGTAGACGAGAGTCAATTGCTTTAAAAAATAGCCTTAAATCTAAGTAATTTATGAAGTAGACTTCAAGAATTATTATATATACCATATCGTAGTAAGGGTGATCATAATAACTAGATCTGTATTATAATACACTGTGTATTGGAAACAACGATTATTATTAAATGACTATCCATCTAATATTTTATTGCTGGCTTAATGATATTTGTTACATTACTTGGATCTTCAGGTGAGCGCACTGGATGCATCAATAAATCACATTTATCACGACCGTTTCCAGAAAGAGAGAGTGCCGAAAATGGACGATGCGATCCACGAGGCATTGAGACTGGGACTTCATATCATTATCGACATTAAAGCTTATGACAAACAGGTTGTCACATATCTCGTATCATTGTTCGACAGAACTCCTGAACTCTACGAGAAGGCATTAGTGGCATCATTCTTCCCACAGGTGCGATTCTGATATAAATTACAACAGTTCGGACAGCCTAGAGTCACAGTTTAATTCGCCGAACGAGTGATGTAATGGTGAGCTCGATTCCAATGATAAGATCATAGTCCTTGAATTAATTAATTGATCAAACATTTAATTGATTTTGCTAGGTGATATATTCGTTACGATCAGAACGCCCGAAGATGGTGGCTGCACTTATCTGGCGTCCATTTTATCTCTCGCACAAAAATACGGAGGCGACGAAGCCCCGTTTCAGAGACTCGCCACTCAGGCAATGGGCTGCTGAATTGTTAGATCCACTTCTGGGCTTAGCAATTCACAAATTCCTTTGGCATGTTACAGGATGCAGCGCCGTGCTTATTGTGAAGGTATGTTTTATAAAGTCGAAGATCAATAATTTTGGCACTATTCATTGTCATAATCCTCAATCTAAATCAATGCTTCAATCGCTTGGTAAGAACCGCTCAGAGCTTTTGGTACGTATAGAAATATTGAAAATATTTTGTGACTGAGAATTTAACTCTCCTTTTTCCACCCTAGTTTATGAAAGTTATTTAATTATTATTATATTATTATTATTAAAGTTGTTAAGCTATGATTGTTGTATGTTATATGATTAGCCGCTTGAGAAATAATACTACAATGAGATCACAGGTAGGTTTCATGCTGTACACTTAGAAGTATCAAAACAATTTAAAAAATCGAAGTGCACGTATCAAGTTGGTAGACGTTGGTGCTGTGAAATAAATCAAAAGTAAATAACAAGAATTAGCTTCTGGGAATCATGAGCAAAAAAAGTTGTTTGCAAGAAAAAAATAGTTTATTCTATACATTATACTACGAGTGTACATTGTTTGCTCGCCTTTCCATAGGACTGCATTTGTCCACATTATCTTCGTCAGTGGAGAGATCGTGACATCCGTGTTCTTTCCTGGACTCCAAATAACCCCGTGGAGAAGGACTATCTGATTTCGCTCGGTGTGTCCATCATTACTGACACGCTTGTATAAGTGTTATCGTTGTTCATAATTTTACACCAATCCATTCAATTGTTACATGTAGGCATCGCACTGGAGTTAGTTTCAAATTTTGTCAGACCACGAGGAACACAGAAGTACTGGATAGGTCCGCTGTTCTCAGACACTGAGAGCATTTCGAAATACGATGACTACCCATATCTTCTGTAAGTATATGATATAAATTATTAGCGCAGCAAAAAACGTCATGTCATTCCGAATGAACTCCAGTTGCCAACCGGCCAAAATTGGGCCTCGGGCGAAGGAAGCTTGGACTTTGAATTTAGTTACTTTTAGTAGTGACGACCAATAAGAAGGCGATGTGTTCTTCTTCTTCTACTTCTGACAACAGCCGTGTGGCTTATTTTTGTATTAATTTATAGTTGAAATACGCAAATAGTACAAAGCAAACAGCATATTGTCAACAACAATATTGAAAGAAATTGAGCGTCCCTAGTGAGCATCTGCGTCGTAAGCAGATTTTACTATACACATCTATATTTCATCTATACGGCCTTTTATTGACCTTTTATAGAAACTGTAAAAAACAAAAAAACAAGTTTGAAACATGGTTCTAGAAATGATAAGCAAGATAAATTAGTTTTATTCGGATAGTGGAGAGCTAGGAAAGCCGATGGTGATAGAAAAGTATTGTAATGCAAGGTAAATGGGATGTGTATAGATTAAAAATAAGTGACAGCGACGCAAGATTGTGATACAATAAATTCACTGTACAGAACCTTACTTTATAGAGATAAAAAATGACAAAGTAATTTTCTAATACGCAGTGAAAAATACCAGTATTATCAAAGAGAGATAGATTTTGTAAGTGACGACAAAGGATCTTAAAGAAGTGCTCAGTAACGAGCAGCGTATGCATGTTATAATGGACCTACTGATTGATTGTAATGTAAGCACTGTAATGTAAGTCAGGAAATCAGAATAGATGGTTTACTAGGACATTTTATGAGATGATTTATCGATTACGATCTCGGAATACTACGTTAGCTGATCCAGCTCTTTGACTTCATCCGCCTGGTTAGTTCAAAGGCATCTCAGGTAAAAGGGTTGCGTATGCTTGTAATAATAAGGGATGAAAAGATAATGTCAACCTATAAAATATAATGAAGTAAACCATAATAAATAACATAGTAGTAAATGGACAAGTCCTTAAGGAATCTACGTTTTTGTTTATTGTCGAAACCGAACTTCGTTTACAATACAGGAATTCTAAAGCGGAGAGTAAATGTGCCGGTCTGTTTATGTAATTTTAGGTCCTATCGGCACATAGGTACATTTTAGATATCCTTTGGTATCAGGCTTAGTCTAGTAAGTAGTAGTTTACTTACGGCCTCCGTTGCATGGTTATTACCAATGCAATATTTTGGTCATATTAATTGCGCAGATCAGCAAAAAGCGTTCTCATGTTTTATATCATAGCCTTTTTTTTGTTTAGTTGCAAGTACTTATTACCTAAAGATAAGTGCAATAGATTTTTAGGAATAACGCCAGCTTCAGTGTAACCGCACGGATAGCTCCTCATTGACGGTTAATCCCTAGCTGTCATACGAATTTTCTGAATTAGTCATTGCAGATTTGATCTAAGCCAACTTGTTAAATTTATCATACCAACTCAAACGTCTTCGTGTTGGTGTAGTGATAAAATTTTTGGTCACCAAATACTTACGACGCATGAGTTGGTGTTACCCAGAAAACGAGCATAGATTTGCCTCACTTTTTGTTAGGAGCCAACTGGCAGGCAGTACTGAACGATAACTGTGTCGTTCACTTTTCGGTTAATGCGGCAAGCAGTAGGCGAGATCAATATTCCCAAAGTTGCATGACGAAGATATAGGCAATAGCATTTGAAAGACAATATTATTTATCAGTATAGAAAACCACCTAATAAAAACTGTATAGTGGATAACGTAAAAATATTTCACTAGGTGACACGGCTTAGAAGTCTGCCTAAAAGTTAGGTTCAATGTCCAATAGGATTTAAATGCTTTTCATTGAAGATTACAGCGTGTATTTATGTAATTATTTCAGGTGCTCTTCTTTACTTTTCATCAATCCTTCGTCTGTAGTCGCCACAATCCGTCCTAGGTAAATTGTTCGAGCTACATGAATTCGGTGCAAGGATGAGTCACTGCTGTAATATAAAAGCAAGTAAAAAAAATTGTGTTTTACTCCTTTAAGCCCTCAAGTCATACACACCACAAAAATCATTTTACCATATAAGCTTTACGGAGGTGAACTAGGGTATGTTTTTACGTGCACGAAACTTGAGTTTTACCACCCAAATGCTTCAAGTGAATTGGCTTTCACCGTAGCTCTTAACTCTTTGTTATTTACCTTCGCTGAGGGTTTCTCACCAGGTGAATCTTCAAGCTTAAAATTGTCTTCCCTAAGTTCTTTGAACCAACGGTTTACGGTGTTGGTGGTAATAGAGCCTTCAAAGAACACGAGGTTCATATGCCGAACTGTTTTCCTTGCTCTAGCTTTAAGAGTAACTCGTATTCGATTTTTTTATGGTGAACTAAAGCTTGTTATCCATGACGAGTGCAATTGTATTTCGATGAGAAAATATATTTCGAAATGTCGCACCTTTTTTTTTAATTTTTTCATTTATAACGCTGTTTTGGAGACATGAGAATATTATTTGGCACGTTTCATACTAAAGGACCTAATACCTAGCTATAACTGCACCGACCACACTAATTCTGCCATCTGATAGACTTTAACTAGGTGAACTACAACGATTATCCTCTATACCAAGGGAGAAGAATGTTTAGACACAACTCTCTTTTGCAACCTGCAACGCAAAGGTCACTTTCACTGTTTTATTAATTTCAGAAATATGCATCTGACTGCACTGCCTAATACATCACTCTTGACTGATCTTATAACTAGTTTATTAGTAACTAGTTCGAAGATCAGTATGTTTTATATAAATGAATAAGCATTAAATACCGATATTTATAAGCGCATGCTTCAATAGTTACACAACGAAGAATACACTACCTGTATCTCTTCATGTGACAGTAATTGTCGTCGGCTATCACTAACTCCCCTTACGTACGTATTGGTTTTTTTGCTAGCTATCGTTTCCTTATGGCTCCTCTGCCATTTACTAAATTATATCTTCGCCAATCATGGCACTTACTCCTCTGACGAGCAGAATGTGCAGTCTCTCATCTATGCCATTTGCGCCAGTGTTTTATTGCTGTGCGTACGAGTCTTTTAAGCCACGTGATGAACTTGTCGGCGTTACCCCGCAGACAGAAGCCGATGAGGATGCGACTGAATTTGGCAATAACAGCGGCGCCTCATCAAAGTAGAAATGAGCAAAAGCGGAGTGCAATGTGTCTGAGTCCTTATTGAGAGATTGTATAATAACAATGTATTATTGCCCTCACTGTCAAATAATTATATTGTTGTTACGTCGACGTCATTATATTGTCATTGTTTAACAGAAGGCCTGTGTTTAGTCATGTTAAGATCGAAACATTATCGCCGTAGGTGTGCATAGTGTGTCCGTTCTGAAAACTGTGGAAGCTGGTATCTCGCCACAGCGATAGGCACTTCGTAATAGGGCCAGCGTTTTACGTAGGAATATACTACAATCGACAAGGTATATGATTAGGACGAACCCCGCAGATGAAGACAGTGTCAGCGCTAATGATGGAACTCACGCGAGCGCACACAAATACACTGATAATGCTAAACGGAAGTGATTAGTGCTTCCTTTGGAGCCACGGGGCCGTCTCAAACGAGTGGATAGAAACAAGCGGAAAGATGTTGCCTATGTGTCGAGCAGAAAGGTGCGTGCATCCTTGTATGGGAGGAGACTGAAGGTAACGTGATGAGACGTGTGTCGTAAGCTGTCTGCCTATAAGAGCACTTTATCTGCACTAAACTATAGTAGTCAAATCCGAAGTATCGAATAAGTAGGCATGAGACGACTGGTAGGTCGAACACGGTATAAAGTGTCTGAAGAAACTGCTGTTACATGGTGGTGAAGATAAAGAATCACAATGATTTTGCCGTATTCTTTGATAACCTGTGATAACCCCTATGAAAGATCCCTATGAAAATACCGTTTTGTGAAAAAACGTTACTGTGTGTTGTGAAAAATTTACTTTCGGTTGTGACTTTTAATGGGCTGTGCAAAAACGAATGGGCTTACTATCGCCAATCAATGGGTTTTAAATGAGTAGCTAATATTAGTTATACCGACGTACATAATAGTGCATAATAGTCAGTGATCGCTATGCAGCCTTTTTTTAACAGTACCCTTATTTACCAAGAAAAAGCTAGAGCTAAAAAGGGTCGTTTTTACGTATATTTGAGAAATCGAGAAATATGAGAATTCGAGCTTTAGCTGCAAGATCACAGAAGATAGATGAAATGTGAAACAAATATACTCGACTTAAAAGCAAGATTTTTTTAAATCCTCTAGCAGACACAAAAATAAGTTCGCGATTTTTTTCCAACTTACATAAGTTGGGTTAAATTAGATTATATGTCTCTAGATCTTTAACACATAGCAACACGGTAGTTTTAATCGTTTCTAGAAAAAGGCCCTCGTGGTATGGCCGACCAACGAAACAGCAATAAATGCCTTCTTCAAAAAAGCTAAAGACAGCAATAAAAGCAGTGACAACAACGACTGGACTCGGTTCGGGTTTGGTCAACGATTGTCGATTGTTGCCTACGGACCGCCGCTCTAGGTCAAACCATGGACCGGTATTACACCACCTATGTAATCCGCAACCGAAGCTACCCTTGAACAGTAATGGATCACCTTTGTTAGGAAAGTATAATCAAGCACCACTATTAAACAAGTATTTTTCAGCTCACCCGTCCCCGATACATATGAAGAACCTGACTTCTGCGACAGTGCCAGGATTCTCCGATATGCTGCAATCGACCGAATATACTTCAGGACGAGGCACGTACATTCCGTCCTACTATACGCGTCTTGAAGGCTATGGATATCTGCTGCCTTTACCTTTGCATTAACCGCTTCTATTGAAGATCAGTAAATTGACTAAATTACATGAGTTCGAATATTTTAGGGGTGGCGGTGGCTGCGAGCCCCTTCTTACAGTTTATAGACAACTGAGTTAGAGAGAGGCAATCCTCTTTCTGCAACATAACCACCAGCCGCAGGTATTTCCATTGGCCTCGGCAGCTACAGATTACCCAGCAAGAACAGCGCTTTATCCTCAAGGCAATGGCAGACCTATCGGAGCGCCGTCAAAGAACTCATCGATAGGTTTCAGGTTAAACGATACACATACGTGTTATAAAATAACTGCAATAAATTCCACATCTTCTCTACAAGACAATTTTTGACGGTTTATTAAAAATGTGTGATGGGTCTATCGGTTGGCTGCTAAATTAATTAAATTTCACATAAGTGTTGCTTTAGCTGTGAACCTTATTTACAATGATGGAGGAGCGATAAACGAAATATAGATATGAACATGACTTATAATAGCCTATATATAGAAACGTTATAGAGTATAGAAATACAATTTGAAAGATGATAGACTGTATGTATTTAACTGTCAGTTGCTTACCCGCGTTCGCTGCATCTTTTTCTTTCACTCCATCAAGCCTTTAGCGTAAATATATTACATCAAAAGGCATTACGCAACGCTGATACAAGATGAATTGTTTCGGTGGATAATGGTGAAGGCTTTTGGACTGATCCTTGATGGACAGATAAAGGAGATCTATGGTATCATCTGATATTAAAGACTTACATATGACTTCAACAGTAAAGACAATGTAATCGGTAATTATCGCAGCATAACGGTATTTATCGCTTTTGATGCAAAATATGAGCTGAACACCTCATGAAGGACATCTTTAAAAGAAAATTTTATTCTATTTATGGTAATTCTGAACCTTTTCAATAGAGGCTTCGTAACGTTAGCTGTATCATTTTCTTTTAAAAATGTGTCGAGTGTACACCTTTCATATTGATTTAGAGGAACTCCTAGAACTACTAGCTTCAAATAGTAAATTATAAATTATGAAGAGATTCTGCGTACAAACATCTAATGAAATGTGCGTTACGCTAGTGATAGTAGTTGAGCAGGTATGCTTATCGATCACATGGCCCCTCTAAGATTTTACCCAGACAATTGCAGCGTAAAACCGTTACTATAACCTTCTCTATGTAAATAAAAATTAACGGGTTTCAATTTATGGATTTCAGTAGTGGACTGGAGCTAATATTTATGGTAGATTAATATACAAAATTAAAGGACCAAATAAAGAAAAATATGACGTAATTAGGTAGAGTTGAAATTCCTATGTAATATGTTTCAAAAATATTGAAGCTCCAACGCGAAGTTGAGCAACCAGTAGCTTGTTATACTCTTCTATTTTCAGGTGATTACGACATATTGCATGGTATTGGAGGCAAGTGGAGAGAAAGTCCGCCGTACAAATGTACGGTGCATCATTTCGGTATTCTGCTTTTAGATAATGATGTGAAAAATCATCTAATTAGTGTAACTTTCTTGTGCGATCTTGTACCGATCGCGAAAATTTTTCAATTTCTCTGTTATGATTTCCGAAAGCTCCGGAATCCCTTAACGAACGTTCTTATGTTTCGATACCTAAGCATTTACGTGTACATTCAATACGCAAAAACATCATCATGCAACGTTGATAAACGTAGTTTTTAGTGGGTGATATCGAGTCAGGTTATATCGAGATGACGTCGTTAAACACCGTTTAGATCTTGATGCATATGTACGTTCTTGCTGTAGTTGTTTACAGTTAATTTGTTACGTTGCTGTTTTTTTATTGTAGAGCTAAGTGAGCTGTTGATTTGTGCATTTGTAAGTACTTGAGTATTAATTTGTATAAATTATGTTTATTTACGTGTGTTTTATGTGTGTCCCATTTAACGTTATATAGCCTTAGATAAGATACAAGATATAAGATTTATAAAACGTAATACCCATTAAGAAACATGTACCCTGTATGAAGTACCCGTTGTTCTTTTCTAAATGTAGCGTTCTGTCTGCTGTTTATGAATATTGTCTATGTATCCGTATATTCAACCGCACTTAATGACTCTTAATCTATGGCTTTTCCTACTGCTCACTGCCTTCGCCCAGTGTTGCATTGATCTGTGTCATTAAGAGAAAATTAATTGGGTGTGGGTTTGTCTATTCATAGCCTTAAAATATTGACGACATAATAAAAATAAAAAATGACGCCGTTTTGTCAATTTTGTCAATCAAAAACCCGGATCTGCGACTTAATGTCAGCAGAGTGCGAGAGTGTGAGAGGAAAAACTTATCTCCAGCGCAGTGTATATATGTATGTATAACATACATTTTATTATATACATATATATATATAACATATATATAAGTAATACGTTATAAATAACGTATTATTGCACCATCTTTTTATTAACATCGAAGACAAATCTTTTAAATCGAAGCGTAACAGTAACATGTTTTTGATCCTGCCTACCATCTGATTTGGCCTCGTCACCTTTGGCCTCTTTTTTACTTTTATACTTAGCTAATTTTGGGGTCATTTCCTGATCGAAGTCTAGCTGTACCTTAGCTTTTCCACTCTGACCAAATAATCCTTTGATTACACCCGTCTCACCACTACTAAACGATACTTTCATGCCAGTGAAGAGGCCAATGTTGGTTTCCTTTTTAAACATATCCTTAATAATCACCTCGGTATCATTAGGCACTCTGTCAACTATGCCGGTTTTGCATTTCACCTTAAATACTCGAATTTCACTTAAACTGGCTTGATAATCCGGACTTGTGTAGACCTTCACAGCGTTACCATAAAAAGCAAGACGGCAAGTCTTTGAGTGTATATCAGAGTCTAATTTAGAACCCAGTATTAAACTTCCCAAGCCGCAAATCATGGGTTGCTCAAATTCTACCAGAACAAACCAGGTCTTCGAATCTTTTTCTTTAGGCAGAATCTCTTCAAATGGCATATCTTCTTGTATCTCAAATGTGGTTAGGTCCGAGCTAAATAGAACGATTTTAGCAAGAACAGTGTCATGAACGGCTGTTATGTGAAACTTTGTTCCTGTACGAATATCTCTACGAAAATAACTAATCCTCGTAATTGATGCTATGATTGCATAGCTGGGCTGTAGATGACCGGGAGAACAAACCACACCCCTTTCGAAAAGTTTTGCATCTAAATGTGTCACGCACACACCTACTCGATCGCCCTGCATTGCCTCACTGACCGACTGCCGAAAAATCTGTATTGACTTCACTTTTCGTTGGAGCTTCAAGCATGGAATGTCGATTGCCGAATTAACAGAAACCGCGCCTTGGATTATTGTTCCTATAATAAAAATAATTGCATACAAAAATTACTGATCGAAAACAAGACAATAGAACACAACATACATAGTACATAGATGGTTAAAGTATGAAATCGTACAGAAACAAAGTTGACATCATGACTTTGTCTATCTCTGCGCAGTAGGCGAAATCAACAAACTGTACCGGTTAGAACGGTGCCCTGGCCTTTTATCTGAAAGCAGTGATCAACGTAAAGGACAAAAGGACCGTCTGGACTTCGCTGGGGCGCTAGGACAGTACGAGCCAATAGATCTTTGAGTTCATCTATACCGCGCCCTTGAATTGAGGAATCCGCTTCTCGTGCAGCCGATACAGCTATCATTTCAGCACCTGTAGTTTACAAAGACATAACCTTTCCATGTGAAATTGAATGGTATTACTTTGAGTCTAATTTCGATAAATTAAAGCTGTACGGACTATTAGTCATTATTATTAACGGATTTGGTGTGAAGTGGGGTAAATAAGAATCGAGATATCGAGTATTATAATTTACTGACCTTTAAACTTGGTAACTTCCAGTGTTTTCGCAAGTCTCTTGCGGATCTTCTCGATTTCGGCTTTTTCTTGATGAAGAAGATCAATCTTGTTCAACACAACAATGAGCCTATCGCAGCATATCTCGCCAATGACAAGACATTCCGCTGTTTGAGTCTGTATACCTTTGGTGACGTCGACCACTAGCATCATCACATCGATGATTTGCGCACCTCCTGCAGCCAGAACATTGTCAGAAATATACTACTTTCATATTAATCAACACTGAAAAATATGTTCCTTCTTTTTTACTATTTTATTAGTCATGCTAACGAACTTAGCGGGATTGGCTTACATAAAAACATTTAAACGTATTGGCTCGGTTATTACAATGGGTTCAATATAAATCGCTTCTTGCATCTTTTAAATTGAAATCAAGTGCTCTTGTCAGCCACTTTACTTAGTTGCTATCAAATATAGAATTCAATTCAATTAGTTCCATAATCAGATGAATTAAAATAGTTCTAATTGCCTATGCTCATTAACTAACCAATAACCGTTCGAATCAAGCGTGCATGGCCAGGGCAGTCAACAAGGGTGAAATGGATGCCATTATAGGAAAACGCAGAAAACCCGAGGTCAATCGTGATGCCCCTTTGTTGGGATTGTGTGTTTTTGTCGAAAGCAGCCGTTGAGCCGTGCTCACTAAGGACACGACAGAGAGAGGTCTTCCCGGAGTCGACGTGACCCAGCACGCCCACATTAACGTTATACGCAAATTTTCGGCCCGCCATGAATTACAAATAATCACCTGCAATAAATGGAACTGATATTTTAGCATCCTGTGCACCAAAGATGAAGGCGCACTTCTTGGTGAAAAGTAACAGGCCTTTAATGGGTTTCTACGTAATATAGTGAGAAGTCCGCAATTTTGCATCAAGCAATTAGCTCAAATAAATCGCCAGCTCGAACACCAACGTTTACGATTTATGGTGTGCAAGTTGTCGCTACTTACCGATTTTACTCATTTCTCCCATGAAGGTTTTTTTTATTGATATAAAAACGTTATCGCAATATTTCACACACATAGATTCCTAATAGGTCCCTAAATGCTTTAGTTGCATGCTTCTTCTGCAGATAATAGACAGTGAGTAATACTCTTTCAGATACTAGAAAACGCCACTTTTACAGGATGTAGCAATACTAAAAGATTATAAGACGATAGCTATTGCCTGGAACACCACATGTTTAAAGCTGAAACCAGTTGCATTGCTGGCTAATTAAGCATCGGATCTACGTGATTAAAGCCCCTGTCCGAGTTTCGGCCGAAATCCTACGGTGAATTCAAATAATTTGAGGCCATAAGGTCAACTCACCGTGCCATTACGTATGCCTAGTTCAAATAGCATTACACTGTCTTCCTCTAATACACATTTTAGTCCCTACCGCGCCACTGGAAATAAAATATATCAGAGGGCTGTTAATACTAACAGGATTCAGTCCTTGCTAATATAAAAAATACATGATAGATCTGAAACGTTTGTAAATCAGATCATTAATACATTTTTTAAAAACTTGCCTCCACTGAAAAAGCTATAGGTAAATAATATTCAAACGTAAAAGCAGTTGTCGAATTAGAGTTAGAAAAGACTGACCAAAAATCGAGATGGGAACTAAAATCCTTTCTACTGACCTGAACCACACATCTGATTTTATGCGAAAGGGAAGCAGCAGATTTACATTGTTCATTGACTTAATACATTTTATAAGAAGTACCGATTCACTTCACTCTAACACGACAATATAATGTACACCAGTCTGCTAAAAAGTTCTCCGTTTCAACCAATTAGCTACTTGGTTACTTAATCAACAACACTTTTCAACAACGAACAATTTTGCAGAGCAGTTAACATCTCAACAACGAGAACTAGATTAAACCTCAAACAGTATAAGAACAATGAAAAATTATAGCATATTCAGGTGCTATCTCTATATGAAACCTGTTTTAGTTTGCATTTTGTTTGGTACAAACCAAAATTTCGAACAGAAAAACGGCTCGTGACAGAGATTTGCTGGCAACAGCTCATTACATGTGCGGCGCCAAATTCGAATATAGTCTCAGCAAGATGGTAGCGCATCTCTGCATTTTTAGGTCATAGGGATGTTGAAATTGTACACGTATTGGGTTTCGGCAACAGTAGGGTTATTGATTACAAATACACATGGACTCAATTTTTATTTAATATTCGTACTAAAGGCCCACAAAACATACGCTATCCGCAGAGTCGTTTACTTTTAGTGAGGCCAACACTATTCTTCCAGTTCAAACGTGCCTTTTTTCTCGACACGTTTTAAAACAATCATATCTAAAATTTGTCAGCTTAACCGTTTATATTTGTGTAGAAGATCGGCTACGAGTTTAGAAGCACCAGTAAAGAAAATAAAGGTAAAACATCATTTGAAATAATCACTAATAGTAATAACTCCCCGCTGTCAAATAGCACTAGGTTCATATATTTCATTAACGTTTTCAGACCATCTAATCATACCTTTCTGTCTGATTCACAACTACACCCATTCGATCCGCAGTTGCATCGATGCCAACTCGTTTTAAGTCTGCTTCAACGATATTTTTTGCCTTTTTCTAGACACCTGACAGTCTTGCACATACAGCGATCTCCAAGAAATAAACATTAAGCATTAGATCAACTATTTGACAGGTATTATTTAAATAGCGTCAAAAAATTCTTTATGATCTTCTACATTATATCGACTAACACGTGTAATAACAACATGCGTTCAATTACTGTTCTTGGTGTTAACTTATCCAACGCGAATTCAAAGGAGGGAAGTTCTCGTAATCCGTGTTGTAAACAGGCAACTCGATGATGATATTCGTACGGATAGCCACCTCATGGTACCCAATCTTTCACAAATGGAAGTACTGATTAGCTTAAAGGAATTAGAGAAAGTTTGCTTATATCTGCTTACGTGTTATTTGAAAATAGTAAATGTAAGCGACAATCGTTAAAAGATAATCATATCATGAATCCTTTAAGGTGATATTACCCCTTATACATAGAATGCTCATAACAGATTGGCCAGCAAACCGATGCCTTGCAGTTTCAAATGACGCCTAGAAATGCTTCTCTGGAAGCGCGTCTTTAAAGTTTACCACGAGTTGTTCGATTCTGGAAGTTTTCTAAGCTACTGATGGGGTAGTTGAATCATATTCATCGACCTCATCTAAACATATATCATGGCCAGCATTACGGTTCTACTTTCTGTAGTACTTTACTTCTTGAAGCAGGATCTCACAAAAGCACATTACGCCTGCAGTTATCATGTCCACAATGGACCAACTATGCAAGAGAAAACTATTTAATAAAGTGTAAATGTACGCATGTTTGCTCACTTGGTGTTTAACTTTGTCATGCTACTTCGCGCTGCCTTCGCTTTGTTGCTAGACTGTGGCACAAAAACATCATGTTAATCAATGTAAACAGGTAATTTTTTAAGGTAAATTAAAAAAAAACAACTATCGGTTCAGGTTCTGATAGGTTAACTAATTCGGGTTCAACTAGAATCTGAAATCTTAATCTATACTGTAAATGATTTTTTATTTACGTCTTTTTAAGGAACAGTGTAAACATATATAAAAAAAAAAAGAAAAAAAAATATAAAAAAGCGACTGCGCAGCCTTTTTCGAATTCACATAGTATTAGACATAAATCTGTAGTAAGTAAAAGTAAATATCCGTATGGCGACTTGAGCTGGTGAACCACCTCATATTTTAATCAAAAACTACCCTTCTCTAATTATACCGAACGTGTCAAGAGTATCCTGTATTTTTAAATGTATCAAGACTTTTTTGCGCCATCAAGAACATTTTTGTTCTCATCTGTCATAGATATACCTGAGTGTCAGATGGCTGAAGGTAGCTTTTATGTTATTGGAAGTACAACTAGCGTTGAGCGCGTAGTTGAAAGAGCTACGAATGTCCAGCATTGGTTTCTTGGTGTATAGATCCACAAATGATTCTCGTTGATACTGTAAACATACATTCACAAACGATGAAGAGAAATGGGTATTGTACTGTTCGCATTTCGGTAAGTCAATCAAGAAGTGCTTATATGCAACTTGAACAACACCATATTAAACAGAAAATTAGATGTAAATAAAAACTCATGACAATGATTTTCTTTTCCGAACTGCTCACAGCGTCGGGGGTGAACGAATCCAGATACCTAAAAGGAGGATTAAGGTCTGTTGTACAAAATACAAATGTGATAGGCAAATAGATCCAGGGCAAAACCGTATATAGTAGAAACGTTTATAATAAAATTGCAACTACAGTTACAACGTCAGTAATGGTAAATCAGACTAAATAACCAACTTATCATTTCATTGATCTCGGTGAGTTGAGTGATAACATGACTTTTGGTTTTTAGACTTTTTGTATAATCAGCCAAGCATACGCATCTAATAGAATGGAAAAACGTATTTTTTTTTGCATTAACTATTCGGCGAAGTGACAGTGGATTTGCATGGCCCTTCAAAATGCTAAATTCATTGTTTAGTTAGAAAATGACACAAATATAGAAAATCCCAATGTACCTAAAAAATAGATCTGCCAGAGTAGTTGTCGTAAGCCCGGCTAGCCCTTGCGATCTTTCTCGTGATCTATATAACTGAACTAATTTGTGATATTTTTTTTATGTTAAAGGTTTCTTTTTAGGTTCTTTTCGGGACATGACGTTAAGTGTTTATTACAAATATAAAAGCTATAAAAATATATCTACTAATTGATAATAATAATAATAATAGTCAGAAGAGGCTTTATTATGCACATTAGTCAAGCCGCGCGTAATCCCTAGTGTCTTTAGAATATCACCATGAACAAATAATTTCAGGCTACTCAAGTCCAGATGGCTTTTAGATCAAGCAAATAGTTCAGCCAGTTTCTTTAATAAGTCGCTGTTTGATCCCATATATACTTAGAATCAAATAAATAGTAGATGCTTTAACTTATGTGATACTTCATTTGGACTATGTTTGCGATTCGGGCGTAGCATTTTCGAATAACCATTACTTACTTTAATGTGGTAGGTTTTTATGCGGCGAGAGGCGCCTTATAATGCACTTATGCCCTGAAAACGGACTTTTTCGAGCCCAAACGCAGCATGTTTCTCGCAGAAACAGTTGTACAGGAGAGATTTTAGTGCTTACACGCTTTGATAATCTTTTATATGCATATTATAAAAACTCATTATGTTATGCTGGCTGACTGTGAACTAACTTGAGTAAGCGTAATTCTCTCTAAATTTTCTGCTATCTGAGAACGAACCTGACCTAATTCCAACACCGTTGCCACTTTCATATGTGAAGTCTTCGTAGTTTATCTCAGTTTGAAGTAACAAACACAGTTCGATACCTAGAATAATTCCAAAAATGCTTTCAATCCTGTGTACAACTGTTTTGATGTCCCATCAATAAATCAAGTGTTACAAAAGTAAGGTGGCATTATGATACAACTAGTATTATACAATCCCTTTTTACATGCAGTTAACCAATCACCTTACTTGTTTATGGTTTTCTAATGGAGATAGAAAGACACTACGTTTAATTGAAGCCTCTGGAAGAATATACGTTTATCACTTATCTAGGTATCCAGCACAAATTTCAGATTCTTGCAAGTAACTTCAATGGAAGTGTACTTCACAATAACAAGTCATCTACAAAAAATCATTTGTCATATAAGCAGGCCAATTCCAATAACTTAATTCATGATCGGAGTTAATTTGGTTTGAGGGTATATCAAACCCAAAAATTAATTGCTTAGATAGGCCGTGCTTTCTACTCCAATTCCCGCTACTGCATAAGCTCAAAGGTCTTCTGAGAGACGCCTGCTTTTTTTCAACTGATTCCAGGATATTTACGCAAACATGCGTGATAGGTTTACGTCTTGAGCTTAGGCTCAACACCCGTTAGATTCTCAATTCTAAAATGAATTACCAACTTGCAACGGCCTCAGATACTATTGCGTGAATATTAGCATGTACGGTTTCAGCTCTTACATATGAAGACAAAGCGAATAAGATAGAAACGCCTGATGATAAAAAATGTGTTCATCTTGATTTCACTCGTCCCCGCCTGCTTTCTCTACTATTGTAGTCACTGTTAAGATTTTGTACAGTGTGCTATATTAATTACAATTATTTCATAATCACAATTTCATATGATATGATGCCTTCTTGTCAAAAAAACAACGTATTAGCACAACTATGTCCATTTTTATTATCTTTATGTAATTATAGAGCTGTATCAATAACAACCTTTTTGAGACATGAAATACAGTGGACGCGAATGGGTTTTGTCGCAGGACACACAGTTCGTTCCACGAATATCTTCGTATCGTTTTTATTAAATATCTACCGTCTATATCACTAGCATTGTCTGTCCAAATATCGAGCACGGTATCAATTTGTTTCACTGCTAATCCTTTTTTTTTTTGGATGTCTAACTAAATTCAACTGTACAACAAGGAGTTACCGTCGTTAATGCAAGGACTTGTGTACCGATGACTGTGGCATAAACATTTCATTGCATCCCGTAAATCTGTGTACGTACTTTTGACGTATTCGTCTGCTGATTAGTTTAATGATTATTTTGTTTGATTTTTTTGAAACATTCATATTTACATGCCTTCTTAGGGTATCAGCCTGTTGATGCTGAAACTGTATTTAGATATTAAATGTGTGACATCTCTAATGTTTTCGCTCTATATCGGACACATTCACATTATATCAACCCAAAAACAAAACCTGACCAATTGCCACCAACTCTCGATCTGCAAGCATTTATTGAAGCACGTTTTGCCTCACTCTTAACACCACAGGAACGGACGTGCAAGGGAGCGAACCTCGTTCAGTAACCACCACTGTGACAAACTCCGGCGGCGTAATGTCGTATGTGAGGTCGACGAGACTTACTCGTGAGGGCAAGTCGTTGCGCAACGAAATACGTCTTTCTTCAGATAGGTTGAGTAGAAAATCGTCGGTGGAGCCAAGCTCATTGTCGACGAAAGGGTCCGCGAGCACCTTATCGGAGAATTTGTAGGTTTCACAACACACTAACACAGGTACATTGAATGTAGTGGCGATCATGGCAATTTGCGAACTGCCGATCTTCGAGGCTACGTACCCGTTGGCAAGAAGGGTGTCAGCACTTAGTAGAACTTTTGTAACCTATAATGAACTCGCATAACGTTTTTGGAAAGTAACGATTACTGAGCTATTATATAGATTGTAGCCCTAGGATTATTTCTACTAACAAGACGACAGTATAATACTATCAAAAGATACCAGTATTGGGTTTTTTTGGTGTTTTTGGTACTGACAAAATACTGGATAAGCTATTTCCACTATGAAGCTCACATAAGCTGTATTTTTGTAGCGTAACGAAAATCAATCGAATTACCTCCTTCATGATATATGACACGGAGTTGATGAAAATGTATTTACACCGGATGCCCTCCTTGCAAAGCAAACGCAAAGTCTCACGTCCTTCTAGACGCGGCCGTGAGTCGACGACTACAACTGAAAACTGTTTTCCTTCTTCATGACATGCTAGCAGAATTTCACTGATTAATGTCGAACTGCAAAAGGTAAGTAGACAACCATATAAAATTATAATGTTTTTTAGGTAAGAAAGGACGATAGTTCAAGGTTATTTTTTATAACACAAACACATACTCTATAAGAAACTGGAAAGCGGTGCACATTGGCGGGTCGGTACACGTTTTACATAAATGGAATTCATTAATTAAGTGATTTCTGAACATTTGTTGATAATTGAATTAGAAACTAGGTTTTTCACTTTATTATTTATATTACCACGGTTCTATTAAACATAAACGAGTCAATATAAAATACTAGTAGATATATATATATA